AACTGTCGACTCTTCCGACAATGTGCAACATCTTGAGCAGACATGGCTCTGAGATGAACCTCTCTCATCATGCAAAACATTGAAAGTTCGTAGCTTTTTTCTTGGCTGCACTGTTGGATGTAATGTAACAACAGCTGCTAATATTCTCAGGAAAAGAGGTCTAAAAACTGATGCACTCACCTCTAAAAGATCTCAAGGAACTCGATGATGAAGCAACTGCAGACAGGGCAGTGACCTTTCTGGACCATCAGGTCTTTAGAGCAGAGCTGACAGAAGGTGTGCCCACATGGTATGAACGCCGCCCCTTTGATCTTCACCCCACACACGCAGCAGTCGAACTCTCCGTCTCCGACTCCATCTTCTTCGTCCTCGTCGTCTTCATCCATGGCGTATCTGGACCCCGTCAACCCCATTTGCCGATCTGTTTCTTCCAACAGATCCATCAAAGACATCGTCACCGGCTTCGCCCCCGCCATGGAACTTTTCGTTGTTTCTCCCGGAACATCCTCTTCATCTCCCGGCATGCTGACGTCAGCGTAATCGTCCGGCTTTTTCACCGACTCGACCCGAATCGACCACCCGCGCGAGAACATGGCGCGACCGGGGAAGCCCGGTGGATCCGAAATCGGAATGGCGGACCTCAGATCCGACGACTCTCTCCGTCGTTTCCTGAGTGTGTTCGGTGTGAGGAGGAGCTGTGGTTTTGCGGTGGTGTTTGGGTTTAACGATATCCCCGACGGGGATATAATGGGACCCGGTCCAAGCAGCACCTCCGCGTTTCAAACGCAGTTTCTCAGGGAAGGTCTTCCTTCCACGTCGTCCTATCCCGGCCGTATGATGTCTAAAAGCGTTTTGCGAGTGCGGTGCGTCTCCAGTGGAGCGTTTGCGGCGGCGTTGGCGATGACGGCGTGATTTCTCGGTAAGAACAGCATCCAACATTAATCCGGCGAGTTTATTGGGTTTTTTTTGGATGGGAGAAGAAAAGAGTAATTAAGGATGTTAAATCTAAAAATAAGGATGTTTAAAATGTTATTTATTTTTATAAATATATCTAAAAATATGTTTATTTTAAAATTTATTATTATAATAATGAATAATACCATAAATTACTTTTATTCAAATAAAAACAGATAAAATTAATAATTTACAAATTTTTTCTTCATTTATTCTGGCCTCATCGAACAATCTAATATATAAAAGCCCATCTTCTTCTTCGTTTTCTTGCCTTCCTTTTTTTTCATATATGAAAAAACAAAACAATTCCTCAAGAAAATCCTTCCTGTTTTCCTGAAGTTAAAAAAAAAATCCAAATGGTTTCGCTCTCCACCTCAACGAACCACACGCATCCGTTCCCGCCGGCGTTTAATCGCCGTCCGGCGACGACCACTCGACAAGTACGGTGCGTGTCCATTTCTTCGGACGAATCCGAACCTACAGTTCCTTCTCCTTCCGATATGAGCACTCGTGGTTTGGCTGTAACGGAGACGAGGCAGAGAAAGTGGCTTATCGATGCGGAGGAGATGAAGAAGAGAGAGGCAACGGAGAGGAGGGAGGAGAAAAACATGAAACTCGCGTCGAGGAAGGCGATGTCGTTGATACTGCGGAGAGAGGCGACGAAGGCGGTGATCGAGAAGAAGAGAGGACCAAAAGGCTCGAAGAAGCTGCTTCCGAGGACCGTGCTTGAGGCTCTTCACGAGAGGATAACCGCTCTCCGGTGGGAATCTGCTCTTCAGGTGGAGCTCTAGTGTTTCGCACGTCTATTTGGTTTTTCGTTGTGGCGTTTAGTATCTGGAGTCAATTCTGTTTTGTTTGGTAGCTCGGAAAATGCTAGAAAACGGTAGGAATTAGAAACCATGTGTAAGCGAGATCTTAGTTTCTCCCGGTTGTTGATAATATAGATAATAATGCAAGCCATCATTTTAACATGTACGGATAGGTTATCTTGGGGAGAACCCACAGAACTGATAAGAAACTCCGTGTTTTGTTTTCTACATTACTAGCTCTTATGCAAATCTAAATTAGATCTCGGATTTTCTGATTCTCTTTTTCTTGGGAATGATGTCAAGGATGAGAAATTCCTCTGCTGATGTTTGCTGTGTTTGTGTTATCGTCTCTTTTATGAAGTATACACTTATGCCATTTCAATGTGCTATCCCTGTAACACTAGACCGAGTTGATGTATCTGTAGGTGTTTGAACTGTTGCAAGAACAGCTGTGGTACCGACCAAATGTTGGCATCTACATCAAGCTAATTGTCATGCTTGGGAAATGCAAGCAACCAAAAAAGGCACATGAACTCTTTCAGGCCCTGGTTGACGAAGGTTGTATTGTAAATCACGAGGCTTACACGGCACTTCTATCAGCTTATAGCAGGAGTGGCCGCTTCAGTGAGGCATATTCCCTTCTTGAACGCATGAAGAGCACTCCTAACTGCCAACCAGATGTGCACACCTATTCCATCCTCATTAAGTCATGTCTTCAGGTTTCTGCCTTTGACAAGGTTCAGGCTCTGCTTTCTGATATGAGAAGACAGGGTATTCAACCCAATACGATCACATATAATACCCTCATTGATGCATATGGGAAAGCGAAAATGTATTTGAGTCCTATCCCATCCTTTGAACTTTTTGAATGCTCATTTGGTTGGATATTCTTTTATGTACAAGTTGGCATTCAGTCCATCCCATTTGATATTTTCTGTAGTCATATTCAGACTTGAAAACCACCCAAATTGGGATGGCATGAGTACTCCTGAATGTCTAGATGGGAACTGTTGTGCTCGAGCTCCTAATGTTTCTTTTTCTGTGGAAGGTTTGTGGAGATGGAATCAACACTTATCCAAATGCTTGGAGAGAAGGACTGCAAGCCTGATGTTTGGACGATGAACTCAACCCTTAGAGCTTTCGGCGGCAATGGGCAGATAGAAATGATGGAGAAATGTTATGAGAAGTTTCAGAGTTCTGGGATCGAACCAAACATCAAAACCTTCAATATTCTCCTCGATTCATACGGGAAAACTGGAAACTACAAGAAAATGAGCGCTGTAATGGAATTCATGCAGAAGTATCATTATTCATGGACTATAGTCACCTACAATGTGGTCATTGATGCATTTGGGAGAGCGGGTGACTTAAAACAGATGGAGTACTTGTTTAGGTTGATGCAATCAAACTTCACGGTACAAGAAAGGAAAGGATCTATCAATACTTGTTGCATCGCCATCTTTGTTTCTCTGTCTCTTTCTGCATATCAACATGAGAACAAAGACGAGGGGAATGGCAAACAAGGCTCCGCCAGCGACTCCAAGTAAGATTGCTAAATGGTTATGCTTCTTGTGTATCTTATGTGGAATGATAGTGACTTGCGGTGTCTCAACTGTTGACGAGACGTTGTTGCATGATAATGCAGAGAATGAAAGACATAGATTTCCTGTTGTCCTACAGAAACACCATGTATGTAACATCAGAGCAGATGAGCAGAATACCGACAGAAAATGAAGAAAAGGAAGTGCATTATATACCTGACTTCCAGATTTTCTCTGTTAAGAGACTCGGGCAAGGGGCCTTGTAGTTTATTGTTTTTCAGATTCCTGAACAGAGAAGAGCGGGTAAAGCAGATAAAATTGCAGGAGTCTTGCGCTTTATCGAGAATTCCGATATCAGATTAGACATTGTGTTCTTTAACTGTCTGGTAGACGCATACGGGAGAATGGAAAAGTTTGCAGAGATGAAAGGTGTTCTTGAAGTAATGGATAGAAAGGGATCTAAACCTGACAAGATCACATACAAAACGATGATGAAAGCTTACAGAATTAGTGGCATGACCAGCCATGTCAAGGAGCTTACTGCTTTGGTTGAGTCGACTGATGAAGGCCAAGCTGGGTCGAAGAAGCCCGATTTTTAGCAGAGGAATGGAGCACCTTTTCTGGTACTTATCTAGTATTAACAGTGTAATTATTCTCCAAATAGCTTATAAACTTTATAAAACAAATAAATATAGCATTCAGTATATATATTTATGCATATGTATTGTCTTGTTTGTGTTCTTTAATCAGTCTGTATGTGCCGAAGAAGCAAGATATGAGAGTTGAAGGTTGTACGCTTCTTTCAGTTGAGCCAAAACTTCGGCAATAGATGGTCTTTCTGAAGCATCTCTCTCCACACAACTTATAGCCACGGAAGCAACCTTTCTCATACTCTGTGCATCAAATGTTTCCTTCAAGATATCATCCACTATCTCGAATGCTCCTGCTTGTAGGTTTGGCTTAGCCTGCATTTGAATATCAACTTGGCATTGTTTGTGAAGTTTGATATTGGGAGTGAGAAAAGGGGAAAAGACTCATGTTTCTCACCCATAGAACCAAATTAAAAGAATCGGGAGATCCTGAGTGACTCAAGGGTTCTCTCCCACATATGAGCTCCAACAGAACCACCCCGAAGCTATAGACATCACTTTTCTCCGTCAGTTGCAAGGTGGAATAGTACCTGAAATGGCCATCGTGTAGAATCGATGGTTACTTAATCAAGCTGTGGATCTGTCACAAACAGAGAAAAATCGATGCAGAAGACCTTACTCAGGGTCAAGGTAGCCTGCAGTGCCCTTGACAACAGTAGTAATATGAGAAGCATCTGCCTTTGTAAACTGTTTTGACAGGCCAAAGTCGGAAACTTTCCCATTCATATCCTTATCCAGAAGTATGTTACTGCACTTCACATCACGATGTATGATCCTCGGCTCACTCCCATTGTGCAGGTAGTCCAATCCTTCATTAATAAGACGGAAATCTTACTACTTTCGTCAAATACTGATACCAGAAAAGTAAAATGTTAAATATATGCCTTTTGCAGCGTCAACTGCGATTTTCAGTCTTGAAACCCAGCTCAACGAAAGCCTTTTACTTCTTTGTCCTGAAAGAAACGTGGCCCAGCATAAGATCATAGTTCATGCCTAAGGTCAATGAATTTGACCAAAGATTATGAGCACGGTGGGTTAGTTTGCATACCGTACAAGTGGTCAGCCAGTGATCCGTTGGGCAGATACTCATAAACCAGTATCTGCCGTTTTGGTTCGTAGCAGAAACCCTCAAATGAAACTAGATTCTGGTGGCGAATCTGAGACAGAAGATGCACCTGTAGTTTTAACAATACAAAAGGAAGGCTCTTTTAGAACCCAAGAAGACTTCATTCCTTGATCAGGAATTGAATTTTTGATGATGATTTGGTAAGGAAGATAGAGGGACTGAACCTCATTGATAAAAGAATCAGCCCCGAGTTGAGTTCTATCAAACCGCACTTTCACTGCAACTTGCTTCCCATCTGATAGCTTTCCCAGGTACACAGATCCAAAACTTCCACGGCCAATTGCCTCCTTGAAGTTGCTTGTAGTTGCCTTGATCTCTTTGTAAGAAAAGATTCTTGTTGTGTTCCAGTTCCGCATCTCCAGCTGTGCTCCTGATCAAGAATTTCATCATATGTGTTAGAACCATAAGACTCAAACTTCACGGTACAAGAAAGGAAAGGATCTATCAATACTTGTTGCATCGCCATCTTTGTTTCTCTGTCTCTTTCTGCATATCAACATGAGAACAAAGACGAGGGGAATGGCAAACAAGGCTCCGCCAGCGACTCCAAGTAAGATTGCTAAATGGTTATGCTTCTTGTGTATCTTATGTGGAATGATAGTGACTTGCGGTGTCTCAACTGTTGACGAGACGTTGTTGCATGATAATGCAGAGAATGAAAGACATAGATTTCCTGTTGTCCTACAGAAACACCATGTATGTAACATCAGAGCAGATGAGCAGAATACCGACAGAAAATGAAGAAAAGGAAGTGCATTATATACCTGACTTCCAGATTTTCTCTGTTAAGAGACTCGGGCAAGGGGCCTTGTAGTTTATTGTTTTTCAGATTCCTGAACAGAGTTAACACAAAGATCTTTCTGCATGTGATACGGATAGTGAATACAGTATCACAAAGCTATAATTCTGGATTTTTTACATTCACTTACAGCAGACTGAGATTCTTCACATTTCCCAAGTTTTCAGGAACTATTCCCTGCAAGCTGTTGTTTTGCAGGTCCCTTCAAGAAGGAGATGGAGATTTCTTCCATTTGAGTTTTGTCAAGGCAAACAAGAAGTTTGGAGGAAAAGTGTCAATTTGAAACTACTTACACAACTTCAAGGTTATCCAGATCTTCCAATTCTGAGCCGAATGACGTTAGCTGATTGAAGCTCAGATTCCTGGAGACACCATCAAAACCTTTTCGTATTGCTAAAAGGAAACCGGAAAAATCTAGTCAGTGTGTGGGGAAGGGACACTAACAGTTTTCGGAGATTTTGGAGACTGCCCAGATTCTGTATTGCCCCAGTAAGGGACGTATTATGCAAATCGCTGCAGTATATCACCCAAGGTTACAGGCTTGTCTGCTCGAAAGACAAATATGTGTTGAAGAATGGCGGACTTACAGTTTCCTGAGATCAAGCAAGTCGCCAAATGCCGGACTAATGGATCGTAGGTTGATTTCTGAAAGAAACCTGGACAGTTATAAGAAGAAACTATGAGCTGAGATTAATATATCTGAAAAGGCAACTGGTGTAAAAATGCCTTACAGCGATGTAACAAGGTTTCCTTCGCATTTGATATGGTTCCATGGGAATGGAGAGCAAGGGTCGTCTTGCCATCCGAGATCCAATCCAGTTGACTGCTCGATAACCTGAAGTGCAGAAACTGCAAAAGAACTTAACAGGTGAACGCTAGTTGGGGTTTTGTTCTTTCCAGGTGAAGATGAAACAGAGAGAAGATGTACCTGTGGTAGAAGAAGCTTCTGGAGGAATATCGAGAATTTGATAGATTTCTACGGCGTTAACCTGAGGATTGAACTTGATTTTCTTGAGCGTTATGTTTATTTTCTTGGTTCTCTTCTGGGTAAAATACAGAGCACTGGCTTCTGAAGTTGTCACGGTATAGTCAGACTGTTTCACTTCATCGTTGATTATTACATCGAAAGAAGGGGAAAGAGGGAGTATTCCCGAAAAGTAGAGGATAACATAGTAGTCTCCAGGTTTATCAAGAGAAAGGGAATACGTGAGACTGTCCTTTCGTGCGAGAACTCGTGCAGTTTGAAGAACAGAAATGGGAGGATTCTCGGTAATGTTGAAGGAGTTCAAACTCGTCAGCATACTGAAGCCCGAAGACGCGTGAAAAGGTGAAAAGCTTTGATCAGGATCCCATATTCGATCGAATGGATCTGATGGGTACCTGTTTTTTCATCAGAATCAGCGAAGAGCACTTTAGAATCTCTGAAAAATCAGCATGTGCATTCAAGCCAAGAATTCTTACCGGATAGTCCCGTTTGTGTATCCGCTATTGATACGGTAACTTCTCCTGAGAATCTTGCTCGGGAAATCCTCCAAGTTGTTCCTGTAAGCACCTAAAGGGAGTGGCCGTACTTCAAGCGAAGAGATCACGGGAATTCCTCTCCCTTCAATCGGAAGCAAGCAGAACAAGACAGTATCCTTGTTTACCGCTGGCCATACCAACTCCTCGGTCCAAGGATCATTGGCTCCCAGATTTACAGTACCAGCGACCGTCCTTCCAAGGGAGACGAGAAATGAAGGAGGCCTATTCTGACCATCATAATTCCCGTAAACGAATTTGGCCCGAACAAGAACCGAGGAGGACAAGTCAGTTTTCACAGGCAACTTATAACATTCCCGACCTCGAGAATCCGGGAAAAATCTGATGGGAAAACTGGTAGGAGAAGTCACGGTACTTGTGTTCCCTCTGTCAATATACTCATCATCTGATACCCAAGAAACGTTGGACGAGTCCACATAGCTTGGACCTCCGCAAGACAAGCTCAAGAAACCTGTTCCATTAATATACGCTCTTTGTTGACAACAGTAACCGAGACGCAACACAAAGAACCCGGGAGGAGGAAGAAAATCGTGTTACCATCAGGGTTGGAGAAACAGAGAAACGAGGAGTGAGTGAGCAGAACAAGACCAATCCAGATGAACGTCGGATCCATAGGACTTCCTGAAGAATCTGGACAAGAAAGAGACTACTTTCTTATCCGCAACAAAGAAAAGAGACGTCAAAAATGTAAGTATGCAGGTTTTTCTATGAATGTGTGTGTGTTTATATGTATATGTCTATGTATATTTTGTGAGTGTGAATGAGGGCATGTACGGAAAAGCGGCTGGAGAGAGAGTGAAGAAGAAGCTGATTATGTGCGAAGATCTCAAAACATGATGATGGCTGCTGATTACGTTTAAGGTACTCTGCATCATATGCATAACAGTCTCAGTGGAAACGTAACTTACAATACGGAGATAAGGACTGTCACGTTCTTTCCTTGCCCATATGCGTGTGTGTGTGTGTGTGTATCTATTAGCTGAATAAATTAATGAATGTAGGAAAAGATAGTCTCATGCCCAATGATATTTGCCAATGTCTTTTCCTGTGTAATATGTTTTTGCTTAGCTTCAACACCAATTCTCATTTAAATTCGGAGCTTTTGAGCTTTCGACCAAACTGGAAAAGCTGTCGAGCACTAGACCAATTGAAAATCCAAAAAATCGGATATTTTTACCCCATCCTTAATATTCTAACCTCATGATGCAAATTAGAGGTGGACGCCAACCGGATACGGATAAAATCGAACATCCGTTGATATCCAAACACACGAAAGTCCCCAAAATTTTGTCGATCCGAATTGATTTTAGAGGTGTCTCATAAGCTACCGCGGCTCAGAAAAATCCGAATTCATCACCTCATCCATCGGTCTTCCGCACCATTGGTAAAATAGCCATTCAACTCGGCGGGTATAAGCAACCTCCCAAAAATGCAAATCCATTGTACAGTTTACACAAAACAAATCACCATTCCACGAACCAAGAAAAAAGTGATACTATAATCTCACCACCAAACTGCAATCCCCCCCCCCCCCCG